GCAATGTGTGTCCGCGCGGAAAACTGTCCGTCGTCATGCGCGGCGTGCATTGCATTGCATATGGGGGCGTTGGGCATTGATGCATCTCATCGGTCCATCGCTTCATTCATTCATTGTATACATGCCTCACTGCGGTGACTGGCTGTTCGATCAACTGACTCATTCACTCACTCACTGACCAAAACAGGGAGGGAGGGAGGGAGAAACTGACCGCAACAATTGGGGGCCGGGCCGAGAGGGGGGGCAAGAGAGAGAGAGAGAGAGAGAGAGAGATGTGAGAAGCAATGAGGAGAGAGAGAGAGAGAGGCCGTAGCCAGCCCAGTGAGGTCACTTCAGAGATCACACGCACACACATCCATCCATCCATCCATGTAACACATCACACACGACGATCGCCAGTAAGTCTTTGTCCCTTCCCGGTGTGGTGTGCCGTGGGTGGCGTGAGTGCAGAACAGCACCGGGCACGTGAGTGTCCGTCAGTCACTTGATGAATGTCAGACAGCCAGCCAGCCAGCCCCGCCCCCACACACCCACCCACCCACCACGTGCCACCACAGTAGGAAGGGATATTCTTCGAGCAATCGCTTCCACACGCACACACACCGACGCATACGTCACAAACCGTAGCACACACGCACACACAGCACAAACCAAATCACGTTCACATCACGTCACATCACATCACACGCAACGCATCCACACTTCGATCGATTCCATCCATTCGCTAAATGGACCAGGCGATGCATGTCATGCAGACCATACACACAGCCCATGCGAGAGAGAGAGGACCATAATTACATTCGTTTGTTGCCGGCAAGAGCGTTAGATAGACCGACAGATAGAGCACACATCACATGGACGCGAAGGTAGTGAGACAGACGAGCTAGAGGGAGAGAGCGAGAAGAGCTTGACAAAGAACTGAGGAGGGTGCACGGGGGAAAAAATGGAACAAGGCAGAGAGAGAGAGAGAGAGAGAGTGTGAAAGAGATGGATGGTGGTAAAGGGGACAATGGCATAGAGAGGGCGGGGAATACACCAAGGCAATTAGGGAGGGAGGGAGGGGTACAAGGGGGAGCCATCCACTCTACCAACGATCAAAGGACATATCTCCCCGCTTCATTTTCATTCAATCAGGAGAGAAAAATACGTACAGTGTACATAGAAAAGTACACACGCATCCATCCATCCATCCATCGGCTGCATCGAATCGCACTGCATGGGCCTCTCTCCGAATTCATACCCGCCCCTCTCTGCCCGCCCGCCAGCCCACCCGCCCCGCCCCCGGAGTGATCTTTGCTCTATTTGGCATGATGCGATGCATGGACTCATGTCATGGATTCACCAAAGATCAAACACTTGGGCGTGCGACGATTGTCGGCGTACCTAGCGTAGTGTACTTATCTGATCTGTCTGTCTACATGGATAGATACGTACGTACAATCAATAAGTAGAAGCGATAGACAGACAGAAGGGAGGCGGGAGATGCGATGATGTGGATGGATGGATGGACGGAAAGAGATACATGGGAGATAGGATAGATACCCCAGGCCCGTGGAGTGGCCCCTCCCTCCCTCCCTCCCTCCCCGCTAAGTGTCCATGTACAGGAGAGATATGGGCAGATGAATCAATGGGATGGATGAGTGAATACGACACGCGTGGGTTGGGCAGATGATGGATGGGTGAGAAGGGGGCCGGGCAGACAGACTCACAGCCAGCTAGCTAGCGACAATATGTATGTCGGGAATGCACACGAGATAATGCTAGGCTTCACAGCATGCACATGGACTCTCCCACCCACCGATCCCACGATACGATGCCCCAACACGTGTGTGTGGATGCGTGTTGTGTTGTGTTGTGACCGCAACACCACAGCCAACTCCCTCCCTCCCTCCCCTTGCTAGCGCAAGCAATAGATAGTAAAACCACGCACATGCACACAGAGGGAATCGACACGAAGCTACATACATACACACAGACATAAAGGCAGTAGTATGGCCACACACACTCACACTGACACGTACACAAACGCACACAATACATCCATCCATCCATCCATTCGGCCACGCAGACATGGCGCACACACAGCATAGCAACATGCGCACACTCATGGGGCCACGCAGGCATGCGACCATACCTCCCCTCTCTCTCTGACCATAACCGTGACACCACCATCACTCAAATGGCGCATGATTAAGCCATCCATCCCCTTTGCACTGTCTCATCATTCTCCTTATCTGCCCTGCCTGTCTGTGTGTGTCTGTCCATCGACCCCTCCATGCGCCTGAATTCTCTTGTCAGGCTTACAGAGAGATTTATGGATTAGACAACATAGTAGGCAGATCATGCGTCAGTCAGCAATCAATCGATAGATACAAAAGAGGCACGGTAGCGAAGGGGGATGGCGGGGAAACGTATAGAGCAACCAACTGGTCGATCAGCCACACAGCAAATCCACCACCAGCCATCCAGCCGCTCATACAATGAAGCGCCGCCCCTACCGCCCCCTAGCGAGCCATACGGTGTACAGTAAATGGCCCACAACGCCAGCCATGTCCCCGTGTGCCCTTGTGTCTGTCCATCAAATAGCCAGCCAGCGCTTCTGTGCCCCTCTCTACGACCGTGCGACCCACCGACCATCTCATATCCACTCGCTGACAGAAAAACCCGCGCCAGCCCCCAGCTTGTGATAAAACGAGACAACATAGACCAACAGAGATGTCACCTCACCCATCTAGGTGGTGTAGCTAGATAAAGAAGAGTAGATTCCCTCTGCCTTTCCTTTCCCGGTGTGTGTGTGCTTCGCTCGCTGCTCCCCCTCTTGGTGCTCATACGTACATAAATGTCCTTCGTGACGTGACGTGACTGGTGGGATGAGTCCGTCGTGTTTTGGCTTCAAAAACAAGAAAGGAGCATGGAGCATGAATGCATTGCAATGCACCCATCCACGCATCCATTCCCTCGACCCATCTAGAGCGCGACATAGACAAGAAGAAAAGACAGCAGAGAGACACTTGGTCGGTCAGAGAGCACGACAGTGAGTGAAAGGTGAGAGAGCTGGTGAGATAGATAGACTAGAAGAGGCGCAGCCAAGACGCGAACCCTTGCCGACTGGCTGCCAAGAGTTGAATGGGTTGGCCACCCATCGGATCGACCCCTTCAACACTTCGCGCTAAGTCAGACAATGGCGACAAAAGAACCAAGACCAAGCAAAAGACACCTTAGACCACTCGTCAGCCGCTGTCGTCCGCCCCGTTGCCATTGTCCTCGTTGCCACTGCCGTTGGCACCGTTGCCGTTGCCATTATTAGCAGCGCCGCTGCCATTGCCGTTGCCGTTGCCGTTGCCCGTGCCGTTGCCATTCTCCTCCCCCTTGTCTGCCCGCCGCTCGCCCCCAGACATTGTGGGCGTCGCAGCGGGGGTTGACCCATCGGCCGTCTGGGTGTGTGTGGAGCCTGCATCGAACACACAAACCATGCGTCGCGTCGATGTCAGAAATGTGTCGCGTGCCTGCTGTCACGTGCCCACATACCTGATGTCCATGCGGGAGTGGGTGGTGTCCATTCGTCGTCAGCGGTTACCGGCGTGACACTCGTTGGGTACTGGGGGGGAGGGGGAAGAGGGTGATGCTGCACAGGACAAGGGACGGAACGACACGGTCACGTGTGTGTGCCTGGAGAGGTTAGATATCTATGCACACCTGACTTGATGGGCTAGGCGAGAAGGCGCGTGAGGATCCGGCGATCGACAGAGTGGAGGGATGTCGGCCACTGTGCGGCTCCTTAGAACGGGCACCTGCTACTGTACCTGCACACCACACACAACAGATGACACAAGCGCACACGTGCATCTGTATGTGTCGACCGACCTGCTTGTGAGCTCGTGGTTGAGGGGCATGTGGTGATGGTGGGAACTCTCTCCCATACGTACTGCGATGACGACACACACGTGGGTCGCGACACGCCCGCCACACTGGGGGGCCCGCTGGTCGTCTGCTGACCAGTACCAACTACTGCCGCACTCTCGGGCAAAGAATCGCTCCTGTCGTCGACACACATGCATCGCACGTTCACGTTCAGTCGTGGCTTTCCCTCGGTCTCGGTATGTGTACCTTCTGGGCGGGCTGCCCCTGTCTCCGCCATGTCCAGGTGTAGGGTGTGGCCATCTGGGGTTCATCTGGGGCGTGTGCGATATCTGGGGCGTGTGCGAGTGGCCCAAAGCGGGGGGAGGGGGGAGGGTGGTGCGGGGTGGGGGCATCTGGCTGGTGGCGCCGCCATAGCTCATCGGGGCCTGGCCGGGATACGGCATCGACGGCGGCATCGATGGCGGCATAGAGGGGGGAGGCTGCAAGGGGGACAACAACAACACGGTGGTGATGGTGTGTTGATGGTGTGCCTTGCTTGGCTCACCCTAGTATGGTAGTAAGTGGCCATGGGTGCTGGTGCTGGTGGGCTGTAAACTGGGCGGCTGGGGCCAAAGAACTGAACCAAAGGGGCCGCTGACACATCCACAGACGGACAAAGACAAGAGGTCAGGTCCGCGCAGGTGTCGTTTCTCTCCGTCTTTTCCCCGTGTACCTCTTCCGTAGTCCATCGGTATCGAGCCCATAGGTGGAGGCTGCAGTCAGACACACATGGACGTGTCACCACCATGTCGAATCCACCTCTCTGCGTGCTTTCTATCCCCCCCCCTCACCATGTAAGTGTGGGTGTCGTATCCTGTCATGTGAGTAGGATAGTAAGATGGACGAGGCGAGAACGGATCAGGAGCTGAGCCAACACACCAATCAATCACACCAATCAATCACACAGTGCCTGCCTGTGTCACCCGCCCTCCCGCCCACAAACCCATGTGTGCCCTGCCCGTGCGCGTACCGTATCCGCCGGTGTATGTGGCGGTTGTGTGTGGCGTGGGGTACATGCCCATGCCGACCATGGATGCTGGCGGTGGTGGTGCGGGGGCGGGCATCATGGATGCGTAGGGATCGCTGGGCACAATGCTGATGGGAGGGGCGGGGCCTGCTCTAGCAGTCGGGTGGGGCATGCCCGCCGTCGCGAGCGGTGGGGGGGTGGGGTGGTCACTGCCGGGCGCATACTGAGGCTTCCACCTGCATTAACACAAACACAAAGACAACACACACACCGACACGGTGAGGATGGCGCTTTGTGTCTGTAGCGGATGCGCGGTCTATCGGCTTACATGGCCTTTCGCGGTCTGATCTCATCGACGCTGTGTGCGTGTCTGCACTTGTCGCCCGCAGGGCAGTGACCCCTCTTGTGTAGTATGCACAACGCTGTCTTGTAATACGCGCCGGTCGAACGGAGGGCCTGCGATCCATCACCGGAGTAGACAGACAGCGACGATGTGAGTGTCCCTGTGTGTGTGGCGCATGTTTGTCAGTGCTTACGTCCTGTCCATGTGCAAATCTGCATCTGTCCCCCTCAGCGCAATGCCCCTTGTGAATCCAATCGCGACACAACGACGTCTTCTCGACTGTCGGACAGACAGACAGACAGGCGACCACCCACGAGCAATGAGCATGTCACTGTGCGAGCTCCAATGGGATTTCTATCGGTCTTACGATCAGGCAGATCTTTGATTTCCTCCTCGCCGTGCGCATAGGTGCAAAACTCTGACGCACAGCAAGCGATAAGACAACATGTGATTGACTGTGCCGATCGCTTGAGTGTCACACCCCGCCGACACGCCTGCCTCCTCGTGTGGCTGTCTGTGTGGTTTGTGAGTGACTGCCCACCTCCTCTCTGGCACCTCCCCTCCATCCAGAACCTGCGCAGACAAGCAAATGGACACACAGACAGCCAGAGTGAGTGCCCGAGTGAAATAAGCCCTCCCGCCACTCAGATGAATGCCCAGCCGTCTGTGCATCTGTGCTTGGCTTCTCCCCGTTGTGTGTGAGCCTGGCTGACTCAGTGTGTCCGCTGCCCGTTGCGACTCTACTGACTGTCCGCTCACTCACTTGCAGAGTTTGATTTTGTAGAAGTGCGCCATCTCTGTCTGTCTGTTCGTCTGCTTGTCTGCCGCCTCTCGGCAGCCTCCTCGGCCACACAAATAAGGTATACACGCTCAGTCAGCGCCGGTCATCAAGGGCGTTAGCCGGCGTTGCCTCGTTTGTCGCTTCAGCAAAGGTGAAGCTGTCTGCTGCCGTTTAGGTGTGCAGTAGGGTCATTGTATCAGTGAGAGAGAAGACAAGATCAGCCGGGAAAGATTCGAGTCAGAGTCACCTTAGGGTTACCGGCCACAACCGAAAAACCCTAAACCCTGAACCTATATCGCGCTAGAGTCGGGTTTCAGGGTGATTCCCCTCTCTCGCTTTGGCGTCAGAGAGAAATTCGGCAAATTCTCTCTTATTGCACGCCCTCTACTTGCCGCGTCTCACACAGCGTCTCGCTTTTTGGCTGTGCCTTCAGTCAGGCAGTGCAAAAGAGCGCGCAATCCCATCATCCTCGCTACTCATTAGTCGCAATGAAGTTCATCTGTATGATTCTGGTGTCTTCCTGGCTCATCCCTTTCCTCACCGGGTTGCCATCGAACCACAGTGCAAACAGCCAGGAGGCAGACTTCCTGCTCAAACAGCTGCTGAAGAAATCGTTCATGAGCCTCCGCAGAGGCTCAGGCGCGACCAAGGCCAAGGCGCACCACCACATGCACGTCAAGCTGACACACGAGAGAGGAAAGCAACAGCAGGAGACGTCGGAGCTATCCCAGGGTGAGAATCGTGGCATTGTTGAGTACTTGAAGGGCTTGACTGAGGGGCTGAGGCGGGAGAAGGAGACGGGCAGGATGAAGGACGCGGCCATGATGAGACTCCGACAGGAGATAAGAGACCAGGTAACGGCAATCCATGAGTTGCCTTATCGGAGACAGGCAGGCACGCCACGGTGTTTGTGCATGGTGTGTGTCAGAACAAGTTGATGAAGGGCATGTTGCGTGAGTTCGCGCACATGCTGCGCCCCGATCTGCAGATGACAGAGGAGGCCACCGATGACATTTGGGCCGTCCCAACGCCAGAGGTGCGTATGCACAAACCCGCTGCTATGTGCATGGGTACGGGTGTTCGTTCCTTCAGCGTTGCGGCTGCAGCCGCCGTCCACTGGAGCACTGCGCATGAGTCGATGAGCTGGGAATACTCAAGGTACATATATTCGTCCACCTATCATCCATTCATAATCGAATGAGAATGGTGGTTTGTGTCTCGCTTCAGCATCATCTGTTTGAGGCGCTGGGCATCCAGGGCCCTCACCCCATTCACCCGCCAACGACAGTCGTATCGGGCACTTCCGAGGGATGTGACGAAGGTCCAATTGCAGGAGACGAGACTTGAGTGCATCCACCGATGGCCATGTTTTCTTTCTGCAGAAATGGAGAGGCCCCGTGAGCCTCCGCGGCCGCTGCCCACATCGCCGCCGAAGGCGATCACCAGAGCGCCACCCATGGAAGAGGAGAGCGAGGAAGAATCAGAACAAGGTAAGCAAGAAGATGTCGAAACGAAAATGAGTCTCCAAGTGAGTGTGCGTGGATGCTTACAGGCAGTGACACCGAGAGTGAATTCAGCGACACCGAAAGCGAAGGCAGCGAGAGTAAGAGTGAGAGTGAGAGTGGGAGCGAGCATGAAGTGGAGAACGCCCTCCTCCGTGGGCCGCCCAGGCCGATGGTGGTCGAGCCGGTGCCCCCTGAGTCAGACATGGAATCCGATGAGGACCGACAAAGCGAGGAGGTAAGTCCGCGAGTCCGAGTCTCTTGGATACCGAATGAAAGGCGTGGGTGCATGTCTCGCAGAGCGGTTATGAGAGTGAGGATGAGGCGCCCTCGGATCGCATGCTGATGGTATCCAAGCTGCAGAAGTCGGCCAACGTCACCCTTACAAACAGGAGGGGCAGTCTGCACAGCGATCGGCTGCCAGAAGGTATCCATGCATCACGTATGTGTGCAATGTCCACCTCTTTCTTTTGGTCACGTTCCGTGTGTCAGGTTGTGGGTACGCTGAGTGGGTCATGTGCATGCTGCGGCACAAGAGGTCCCTCGCTGCCTTCGACTTCTCTGCCGATGGCGTCACGTCCATCATGGAAGCCACATACGTCTTCTTCCGTAACTTGGTGCATCCTTCCTGCATCTTTTCATACACACCGTGCATGTGTTGCTGTGTGTGTCAGTTCTCGACATCAACAAGAATCTGCGGATCGATACCAAGGCAGCTGACGATTGCACCAACAGAGACGACAGCGAAGACATGCGGCTTTGCCCTGGGGTACGTGACGTAACGAGACACCGTAATTTCGATGGCCCGAAGGGTGTCTAAGCAAATGACATCTTTCGCGTTCATTTCTGTATTATCAGGAGCACTTCATTCTCGATGTATTTCTTGAGCTCACGGTCTCGGGTGAGCGGACGCAGCGTCCAGTCCCCCAGCTGCACTTACGCACGTACACAGCCGAGTGTGCCAACGCAGGTGTCCTCGATTTCCACCAATTCCACTGTGCGTTGACGAAGCTCATCGAGGCGTCGGGGATACGCAAAGGCGAGCACGTGCAGATATGCCACGAGCACGTCATGCAGTGGTGGACAGGTAATCAGACATCAGCACACATAACTGTTCGCCATTGTGGCCGCCTCGCTTCCTCACAGTTGTGAACTTGAATCACGATGAGCACATGGATCTGCTCGAGTGGATTCCTGTCTCACAATATATGTAGGGTCGGACGGCACACACATAGGACATGTTGATGGGAACTTCTCTGCCTAATCAGTCTCCTGACGGCATCCTTCGTTCCTGATCCACCGCTGGACCCCATGAAGCTGCCGCGCCTTCACGCCATCAAGAGCATGTTTGCCACATTTGGCCTAGCATGGACCAAGGGCATTGAACGTAAGAGACAGGCCACGTCAATGAGTGCATTCGGAGAGGCAAGGTGTGTGTGCTGTTGCAGGCTCCAGCGCTGATACGGTGATGGCGCTGAGCGAGATGTGTCTGCCGACCCCATTTACTCTCTATGCGGCAGCAGCACACTTTGACGCTATGATCGCTCTACAGGTGGGTAACGAATGCCATCAAAAGAGAACAATCCATGTCTGCGTTGTCGATGGATGATGTTGTTCGTCAGTTCGGTGAGCCGGGCGGTCCCCATGAGCTCTGGAGTCAGCCACCTGGTGACGAAGGAGACGTCTTGTGCATGATGGCCCCGCACAAATGCATCCACAAAGAAACCAAAAACGCGACAACTGCCGAATTCTGCGTGAGGCAACACTTGAGAGAGACCCAAGTGTTCATTTCATTTGTCTCTTGCTGTTGTACAGTGGGATTTCCGCAAGATGTCTGGCGCATCCCGCACCCGCACCGGCAAGACGATGACGCCGGCAGACCTGGTGGCTGAGGGCATCCATGAGGACGTGTTCACAGAAGTCTTTAACATCAAGGGCCTATACAGAGGTGACAATGAGTGAGTAATAGATAGAGACATGCACAAGCTCATCTGTTGGTGTCAGCGCTTCAGCATGCCCGTGCGTCAAGCCTGTCGCCCCTGTCCAACGATGACGGCACCTTCGACCCACAACCACCAATCCTACCCATCACCGTGGGTGCACCTGTGCGTGTGTGTCGCTTGCTGCTTTGCGCATCTATGACACCCATCAGATCGTCGAGCTGTGGCTGATGTATGAGTTCCTCCCCTTCGATACCAAGTGGGCACGTGCATCCTCGCTGGTGAAGAGATGCATATTTGTGTCTCTCAGCAACGACTATGCCCTCAATGCGGTGGAGTACTACCACAAACACATGTTCAACAAGGAGTTCCTGCACAGGTCGAAGTGGGCATATGCTTCCCATTTCATGCTCCCAACGAAAGTGAGACACACGACAGACACAGAGACACGCATACCAACACCACACCAATGAATTCGGATGTGCGTGTAGGTGGGGAAACCCGACGGCTGCCCGCTCTCCCCCGAGACCGTCTCGCGGAGCCTCATAGAAATCCAAAGCCCGACAGGCAGACACCAGACACAGACATGCACAAGAGACTCAGACACACAAGAACGCCAGTCTCCGTGTCTCCTTCTGTCAGGTCATGGCCATGTTGAGCTCTGTGACATTCGTTTGTCCCTTCTCGCCGCCCTCGAGTGTGCCCACCCTGCCAATGTGCTCAACTCGACTGCTGTCTTCCTCAACCAGACACAAGGGGACACCAGATCCATGAACAGGTCGCATGCACGGCTGTCTGCTAATTCTTCGATTGATGATGCGTACCGATCGAGTATAGAACAGCTGTTTAAGCTGTCGCAGGGCATTGAGTGATTGGTCTATAGATAGGCAGCAGGGAAAAGATAGACAAGTGGACGTGTGACTCTGGCCAGACCTTGTGCAAGTGTGCATTTCAACATTGAAGAGTTGTGCGTTGGTCGACGGTGTCTTCGTCGTTCGTGTGAGATTCTCAGGTAGGAGACCTCACAGCCTGGTCCCTCGACCGTCGTTTCATGGCCAGAAGCTGCAATCGTCAAACAGAAAACAAGCAAAGACGCCAAGACAGCCGAGTCGGAAAGCAATGCCCAGAGGAAGCAGCAGCGAGTGTATCCGGATGATAAGGCTCCGTATCATCTCCTCCCCTCAATATTTGATGAAGTGAAAGGTTTTCCAACAGCGGGTAGGGCACTCGTAGAGATGAATCCTTCATCAACCATAGCGTCAGGTATCAATCGAGCCGATTCTTCAACCCTTAATCCATTCTCTCCATGTGCCTTCAGAGTCCGTGGGTGTCTGGCTTGCTCACCTGTTGTCTTCAGGTGGTCGTGGCTTGAGTTCGCCGCAATCATCTTCAGCGGGCAACATGAAACATGCCAGCCGCGCCGCCCGGAGCTTGCTGCTCTTCCACTGCTCCGGTTCGTCGTTGAACACAGCGCCGCCCGGGGATTTGTGTGTGGGTGTGTTGGGTGTGGTGCTCGGCTGTGTTGCAGGGTGCAAGGAATGACACATCAATCATGAGTCTGTCATGAGGAAAGTGGTGCCTTGCGTGCATGTTGTGGTGTATATCGCTGCGCTGATGAAGGGAGGGAAGATCCCTCATCGCCGGTGATTCGTCACTCCATCAGCGCACGAGCACTTTTTGGGTTACTGTCTGGGGGTGCACTGTCTGCCTTCACTCCTCTGGGTCTGTATGATTCGTGTATGTGTATGTGCTCATGGTGTAC